GGGTAGGAGGGAGACAGGGTAGGGGTTAAGACGATGTAAAATTGGAATTATGTATATGTGAAGTGTTTGTGTATTAGGTTCTTTTTGTATGGGAAATTTCAATATAAGATACAATAAAAAAAAAAGTGATGCTAGCGTTGCAGTACTATACGCAGTAGTAAGTGGCAAGTGTGTCCTATTACTGATAGACGGCACACATGTCGCGGGCCAGTCCAGGGTTAATCAAGATGGCAGACAAACAGCATTCGTGCACGCAATGGAACAGCATGTGGTGATGACGTTTCTTGTGAGTGAATGCGTAAAACCCGCGGATATCTATAGAAGACTTCGAGCACAGTATGGTGATCTGACGCTCAGCTGCAGTAAGACATTTGAATGGTGTAAACGTTTCAAAGATGAACGTACATCTGTCAGTAATGATCTCGGCCGTGGTGGTTCCCAGCCCACAGCAGTCATTCCTGTGAGCATTCAGTGCGACGAACACCTGATCCTGGATAATCTACGCATAACCTGTCTTGACATTGCACAAGAGATGTATCTGTGGGATTGATGAATACAGTCGTTGACGAAGTGAAGCAAGCTGTGCTAGGATGGTTCAGGTGTACTGACAAATCTTTCTATGCCGAAGTTTTCCAGGCAATCGTTAAACACTGGGATAAGTGTATAGATTTAGCAGGGCAGTATGTTGAAAAATAAATTCAGTTTCCACTCCTTGAAATGTGTTCTTTAATTATATAAATGCTTTTTATACCAAATAATTACCATATTTCTTAAAAAATTTATTATCACCACCATAAACTGACTTTTTTTTTTTAATGCATTTGTATAAAGAGGTTGTATTAACAGGGTTTTACTTTATTGGAGTCTCTTTCCCCTCTTATTCTTAGATGTTCCTGGTGACATTGTGAGAAATAAAAAGTGGATTCCTGCATGTGGTACAACCCCTTGGGGAAAATGCACAGAGAGACCAGACCGACCAACTCTTAAATGAGATGTCATGGTTGTCTGGCAACTGAATGAACTCCCAGGAATCAGCTCAAGTACTGGCGGTTTCCATCTTGCCCAGTGTATATCCAAGATGGAGGCGTATGGCATACCTCTTTCACCTCATGGATCTTGCAGCATGGTGTTACGCAGAGCATGATGATGTCATTACGTTGGCGCGTTTAGTCGCATTTCATTGCGATGATTAGCGGACTAAATGTGTCAACGTAATGACATCATCACGCTCTGCGTAACACCATGCTGTAAGGTCCATGAGGTGAAAGAGGTACTTGAGCTGATTCCCAGGAGTTCATTCAGTTAAGCATGGAGATATATAACTTCCACTGGAGGCAAGTAAATTTTTTGAATTGTGCCAAGTATTGACTTGCACTTTATCTTACGGGACACACGTTCTTAGCCTCACAGAGGAACTCTATTACTCTTATTTAGAAGATACATTTTTGGGCCTTATACAGGTGACAAATGTAAATATAATGCGATAAGGAAAAAACAGGACTTTGTCCATTCGTTTTGCTCTTACTTAGAGAAATTTTTGGGGCCTACAGTAGGCTATTTATACATGTGACCATACATGCCATCGCAAGATTGCGATTCAAGATATACTCATATTCCATAGTGCTACTTTTTGGCTCAAAGGAGGCTTATTACCTCCCATTTTTTGTCAATGGGTCTAAGATCCACATTTTCCACTTGGAAACAACGGTGTCCTCCATCAGGGTAATCCTCATTTTCAATTGATACTGCCAATAGTAATATATGATTTTCTTTATACTGATATCCATGTTATTCATTATAGATTTAGCCAAAGTGCTATCCAGTGAGATCATCCTGTTTAAGGAATATTGGCCGATTGAGGTTGGCTATACACAGCTCATATTTTTCTTATCAGCTAATATGATGATGATGATGAGACACAAGGTAAATAACGACTATTATAATATTTTCCACTTCAGAGGTATCAGGAATTGTTGGATTTAAGCTTGATGTGATATATATTGATATATGCATATGGTGACTCTTCCCAGCTCTTATACTTATTACACACATTTATCCTCCAGGATTTTCACTACTTATCACCCTACCATTCAACATTGATGAATACATGAGGGAAGTGCAAAGATATTTCCAATATTGGAAAACAACAGGAACTTGAAACTGTGAAGATTCAACCATTTAGAATACTATCATTATGGACTCCCCATACACCATAACAACTTCTTATATATGAAAAATTATTCTTATACAGATGAAACTCGAAAAATTGGAATATCGTGCAAAAGTTCATTTATTTCAGTAATGCAACTTAAAAGGTGAAACTAATATATGAGAGAGACTCATTACATGCAAAGCAAGATAGTTCAAGCCGTGATTTGTCATAAGTGTGATGATTATGGCTTACAGCTCATGAAAAACCCCAAATCCACAATCAGAAAATTAGAATATTACATGCAATCAATAAAACAAGGATTGTACATGGAACAATATTGGACCTCTGAAAAGTAGAAGCATGCATATATACTCAGTACTTGGTTTGGGCCCCTTTTGCAGCAATTACTGCCTCAATGCGGCGTGGCATGGAAGCTATCAGCCCGTGGCACTGCTGAGGTGTTATGGAAGACCAGGATGCTTCAATAGCGGCCTTCAGCTCTTCTGCATTGTTCGGTCTCATGTCTCTCATCATTCTCTTGGCAATGACCCATAGATTCTCTATGGGGTTCAGGTCAGACGAGTTTGCTGGCCAATCAAGCACAGTAATCCCACGGTCATTGAACCAGGTTTTGGTGCTTTTGGCAGTGTAGGCAGGTGCCAAGTCTTGCCTGAAAATGAAGTCAGCAGCCCCATAAAGCTCGTCTGCGGAAGGAAGCATGAAGTGCTCCAAAATCTCCTGCTAGACGGCTGCTTTGACCCTGGACTTAATGAAGAACAGTGGACCAACACCAGCAGATGACATGGCTCCCCAAATCAACACAGACTGTGGAAACTTCACACTTGGACTTCAAGCATCTTGCAGTGTGTGCCTCTCCATTCTTCCTCCATACTCTGGGTCCTTGGTTTCCAAATGAGATGCAAAAGTTGCTCTCATCAGAAAAGAGGACTTTGGACCACTGAGCAACAGACCAGGTCTGTTTTTCTTTAGCCCAGGTAAGACGCTTCTGACGTTGTTTGTTGTTCAGGAGCGGCTTGACAAGAGGAATACGACATTTGAAGCCCATGTCCAGGATCCATCTGTGTGTGGTGGCTCTTGATGCACTGACTCCAGCCTCAGTCCACTCCTGGTGAAAGTCCCCAACACTTTTAAATGGCCTTTTCCTAACAATCCTCTCCAGGCTGCTGTCATCCCTGCTGCTTGTGCACCTTTTTCTTCCACACATTGCCCTTCCACATAACTTTCTATTAATGTGCTTTGATACAGCACTTTGGGAACATCCAACTTCTTTTGCAATTACCTTTTGAGGCTTTCCCTCCTTATGGAGGGTGTCAATGATGGTTTTCTGCACAACTGTCAGGTCAGCAGTCTTTCCCATGATTGTGATTCCTACTGAACCAGACTGAGAGACCATTTAAAGGCTCAGAAACCCTTTGCAGGTGTTATGGCTTAATTAGCTGATTAGAGTGGGACACTTTTGAGCCGAGAATATTGCACCTTTTCACAATATTCTCATTTTCTGAGATTGTGGATTTGGGGTTTTCATGATCTGTAAGCCATAATCATCACAATTATGACAAATCGCGGTATGAACTATCTTGCTTTGCATGTAATGAGTCTCTCTCATATATTAGTTTCACCTTTTAAGTTGCATTACTGAAATAAATGAACTTTTGCACGATATTCAAATTTTTCGAGTTTCACCTGTACTGTTAACGGTTCTCCAGCCATTTAATTGATGCAGCCAAGTGAATGTGCAGGACTTTTTTTGTTTTTTCTATTCACGATTTTATTTTTGTGATTGACTGTGTTCACCATGTTTACAATGCCTTACCTTTCCATGATCTACATGATCATATAAAGTAAATAATTTGCATCCACTATCGATGGTGTTGGTTTACTCTGCATAGGATTTATAATATACTGCCTTTTTGGCAGTTTGCTCTAGTCAGCTGCTAACCTTTTTCTCATAAGCTCAATTCGGTTTAGAATCCACACCCCATATTAGGGTGAGTTGGAGACATCCTTTTTGATGGGTGATTACACCCTTAAGAATAATGGCATTTTTTCCTTTTGTATAAGATACTTAAACAAAAGCTGCTGGATACAATGGTAACATAGATAACATTGCTGTATTTCAGTGACAGTTGGATCAGTCTATTATTCTGTAACACAGCTTGACCTTTAGACATATATGACCAATGGCATGTGTTATACCACAGTGCCATTTTGAGGTCAAATTGGAGAATGCTTCTTCCATTGAAACAGTATTGCAAAAGGGACCACACCCATTATTTAAAAAAAAAAAAAAAAAGGTCGGCAGGTTAGGCTGAGGAGGAGGACTCTAAGATGACTTAACACCGAGGGATATCTCTGCCAGAACTGGAAGACGCTTTTAGCTCAATCTCCTGCAACCGTTTTGGAGCAAGCCTGGGGTCAGCATTGCCAACGGAGATTGTGAAGCCTCTGTAATCAGAGCCAAGTAACCTTTTAGCATATTTCCATTGTATACAGAACACAGTTTCACTAGGAGGTAGGTAGCATTTTGCTTGACAGGTATATCTGTCAGTCTTATATTGTATTCCTAGAATTGTACAGAATTTTTCTTTAGTAAAAGCACATTAATATACCACAAAGGTCTAAGCTTCCTTGCTTACAATGCAAAGTAACCTTACTACACACAAAGCAAAAGCAAAATGACAAGCTTACAAGCTTGCAGTGCGTTTCCTGAATTATAGCTTTAAAATACTTTGCCCGACCCCATACAAAAAGAATGAGTTTATTTTAAAGTAGATAAATGTCTAAAATGGTTTAATTCTTTGCAAATGCTCTTTAAATTTTAGCCATATCAGGCCTTTTTGTTATTAGGCTGGAGATTTAGTATCATTACCTGTTGTGCTCCATTATTACATACCTTTTTGAGCTTCTCAATTTGCCGGTTGCGGACAGAGGTGTTATCAATAGCAAGGACCTCCACGGACTCTTCCTTTTCCAACTGGTACTTATTCACCCCAACAATGACCTCAGAACCTGCCAAATTTAAAAAACAAAATTTAGTGAACAGTGAGATAAGGCCTGTATTAGAGAGACACCACTCTGGATGGAGGAGAACATTTTGACAGCAACATTGTCACTCTATTAGATGGACTAGCACATTTAAATTCACTAATAAAATTTAAAGCCAAACTCCAGCTAATACTTTAAAAGCAGTTACAGGAAACAGTTTTTTTTTTCTTTTGGGATAAAGGTTTTAAAAGAAATAAAGCTGATCATTTTAAGCACACCGACACCCTGTAACTGCAAGGGAGCTTCTTCTGTTGAAACACTACAGACCTACTAGATGGATCATCAGATAAAACTAGAAAAAACGAAACCTAAAAAAGAAAACCTAATGCAGCCATCACATCTAAGAATTGGTAAGCTGAAATATAATAAATGTTTGCCTTTGGGTTTAATACTGCTTTAAATTTGATATAATGATAAACAGATCAGCTAAACGCATAAAAGTGAGAAAAATAAAGCAGTTCTAAAATAGGTAAACATGAGTTTTAAATTGTTTTCCAAGTGCATGACACACAATAGTTATATTCCATACCATTTGGTGACAAAAGAGCATACACTGCCAAAAGTGGCCTAAAAATAAACCTAAGAAAAAGCCCTTTATAATGCATCCATCAGCTTACAAAGGATGCTAGTAAACAAAGGCCAGCAATTCTAACTGTAGTACAGAACAATTTCAGGCCAATGTTGATTTTGTTTGTTTCATAAAAGAAAAAACCAGCAGGTGGAAAATGTAAAATTGTTTCTAATATTTTACAGATACAGTGATGTACACAAGTATCACCTAAAATAAAATTTTTAGCAGAAAGATTAAAAAAAAACAAAAACAAACAACCCCATGACACAATACTGCCATCTACTGAGCAAATATGTAATATGTCAGTTTATGTGCTTGTTTATTGCTGATAGGAGAGGAGGACTGACCATGCAGAAATTCTCTCTTGCTCCAATTATTAATTGCATTGTTATGAACACCAGACTGGACCTACTTCAGCGCTGTTTACTACAGCTGTGCATGGTCACTGTATTATTTATTACAGATACTTGCATAGCACTGTCAATTTACGCAGCGCTTTACATATACAGGTGAAACTCGAAAAATTTGAATATCTTGCAAAAGTTCATTTATTTTAGTAATGCAACTTAAAAGGTGAAACTAATATATGACATAGACTCATTACATGCAAAGCAAGATAGTTCAAGCCGTGATTTGTCATAATTGTGATGATTCTGGCTTACAGCTCATGAAAACCCCAAATCCACAATCTCAGAAAATTAGAATATTACATGCAATCAATAAAACAAGGATTGTACATAGAACAATATCGGACCTTTGAAAAGTATAAGCATGCATATGTACTCAGTACTTGGTTTGGCCCCTTTTGCAGCAATTACTGCCTCAATGCGGCGTGGCATGGAAGCTATCAGCATGTGGCACTGCTGAGGTGTTATGGAAGACCAGGATGCTTCAATAGCGGCCTTCAGCTCTTCTGCATTGTTCGGTCTCATGTCTCTCATCTTTCTCTTGGCAATGCCCTATAGATTCTCTATGGGGTTCAGGTCAGGCGAGTTTGCTGGCCAATCAAGCACAGTAATCCCACGGTCATTGAACCAGGTTTTGGTGCTTTTGGCAGTGTGGGCAGGTGCTAAGTCCTGCTGGAAAATGAAGTCAGCATCCCCGTAAAGCTCGTCTGCGGAAGGAAGCATGAAGTGCTCCAAAATCTCCTGGTAGACGGCTGCGTTGACCCTGGACTTAATGAAGCACAGTGGACCAACACCAGCAGATGACATGGCTCCCCAAATCAACACAGACTGTGGAAACTTCACACTGGACTTCAAGCATCTTGCAGTGTGTGCCTCTTCATTCTTCCTCCATACTCTGGGTCCTTGGTTTCCAAATAAGATGTAAAAGTTGCTCTCATCAGAAAAGAGGACTTTGGATCACTGAGCAACAGACCAAGTCTGTTTTTCTTTAGCCCAGGTAAGACGCTTCTGACGTTGTTTGCTGTTCAGGAGCGGCTTGACAAGAGGAATACGACATTTGAAGCCCATGTCCAGGATCCGTCTATGACCAACACTTTTGAATGGCCTTTTCCTGACAATCCTCTCCAGGCTGCGGTCATCCCTGCTGCTTGTGCACCTTTTTCTTCCACACTTTTCCCTTACACATACCTTTCTATTAATGTGCTTTGATACAGCACTTTGGGAACATCCAACTTCTTTTGCAATTACCTTTTGAGGCTTTCCCTCCTTATGGAGGGTGTCAATGATGGTTTTCTGCACAACTGTCAGGTCAGCAGTCTTTCCCATGATTGTGATTCCTACTGAACCAGACTGAGAGACCATTTAAAGGCTCAGGAACCCTTTGCAGGTGTTATGGCTTAATTAGCTGATTAGAGTGGGACACTTTGAGCCGAGAATATTGCACTTTTTCATAATATTAAAATTTTCTGAGATTGTGGATTTGGGGTTTTCATGAGCTGTAAGCCATAATCATCACAATTATAACAAATCACAGCTTGAACTATGTTTGCTTTGCATGTAATGAGTCTATCTCATATATTAGTTTCACCTTTTAAGCTGCATTACTGATATAAATTAACTTTTGCACGATATTCTAATTTTTCGAGTTTCACCTGTATATTTTACATTCACATCAGTTCCTGCCTTCAAGGAGCGTAAAATCTAAGGTCCCTAACTCACATTCATAAATACACATACTAGGGCCAATTTATACAGGAGCCAATTAGCCTACCAGCATGACTATGGAGTATGGGAGGAAACCGGAGTACCCAGAGAATACTGTACTGTGGTTGGGGTTCGAACTGACAATCCTAGTGCTGCAGTTGGATAGACATTTTATTGATAGAACTGGCCCATGTAACCAAGATGCCACTTTGGCATTTTCAGTAACTGGTCTGGCAATCCTGGAGGGTGGTGAAGATAACAAACCCTTCTGGATGTATCCTCTGCATTCTTGTCCCCGACAGGGGCGGACTGACCATTTGTAAACTCGAGCACTGCCCGAGGGCCCGGGGTCAGTAGGGGGCCCCATGAGATGCCCCTGGTACCTTTTTTTTTTCATAGGCTTTTTTGAGTTTGGGCAAGGACACAGGGGCCCCATGATCCCCTATTGCCTGGGGACCCCATGAGTTGTCAGTCCGCCCCTGGTTGTGTATCTAGTCTCAGCACTACCTGAAGGTCCAAATACCTTTTATTCACACTGGCAGTCAGTAAAATACAGCCTGTTTGGGGATTATGGGCTGCTTAAGCAAGCATTATGGAGTGCTTTTTGTTACTAAGAGCAGTGCCAGCACCCACTGATCTCCTGTTTACATCACATTCTTGAATATGAAGGGGGGGGGGGGGGGGGGCACCAAATCCTTGAAGCATTTTGGCTGAATTTTATCAATTACCAGTATAATAAAAAGTTATGGGATCTTGAATTCAGTCTCATAGCTCTGGTGATCCCTGCTGAACAGGTGGATGACAAGTCTGTGTCCGCTCTGCTTATGCAGAGCGGACACAGACACGGCCCGCTCTCTTCTATGGGCAGTCGGATGTTACGCAGACTGCCTGTCCATTTACACCTGACTGCCATCCAATATGCTGGACGGAAAAGGAATGAATTCCTATCCATCCATTTTTGGTTAATCGGATTGGATGTAGGCGGGTGTAAACGGACACGTCTGTTTACACCTGCTGCTCTACAGAGTAGAATGGAGGTTCCAGTCGGTTCCGCCCAAAAAACAGACAGGAGGAGGACGCAATCGTAACATTCATGTACTGTAAAAGGAACCTTATTCTGTGCAGCCAAGTCTGGCATATGAGGGGCAAGTATTGAAGCAAAACTCCAGTTTGGATATTTTTTTTTTCCTTTTTTAACTTAGATGCAGGAGTCCCAACTTTTTGTTCCCCCTCTGCATTACAGCGCCATGTCTTGTGCCTTTAATTGGCTTGGTGGGAACTACCAGCTGTGCAACACTGAGCATCAGCAGGTGCTTCCTATCATTTTAATGCCCCCCCCCCCCCCCTGCAGTTCTCAGTACTACAGAGAGATGTAATGATGCAGCCAGTGGTTTTTATTATTGGTCATAACAGCACAGCGGCCACACTGCACATACTTCTGGGACATCGTTTTTGAGGTTGATTTACTAAAACTGGAGAGTGCAAAATCTGGTGCAGCTGTGCATGGTAGCCAATCAGCTTCTTGCTTCAGCTTGTTCAATTAAGCTTTGACAAAAAAACAGGAATCTGATTAATTCCTATGCAGAGCTGCAACAGATTTTGCACTTGTTAGTTTTAGTAAATCAAACCCTTTGTGCTGTTGTTGCTCCCTTCCCACCACCATACCACAGGAAAGAAGATACAATTGGAGCAGTCGCATGAATACTATATTAGCCCTACCCCCCCCCAAAAAAAAAAAAGAAAAAAAAAAAACCATTATGCTAGAAATGTAATATAAATAGTGTATACTGTCCAGGGGTAGGGGCAGGGACTGCAGAAAATAATAACTTGGATGCCTTGAGTTCTGCTTAAATGCTTTTCTTGAAACACAGTGAATGCCCTCTGCTAGTTTCATCAATGAAGAAGCAACAGCACAATGAAGCAGTCAACACTTTGCTCACTCCTCCTGCCAGCCAGCTACTGGCATTATATGGACAGAACTGTGCAATGCAGAAAAGCTCTACTTATATAGAAACTGTATGTATATATATATACACACACACACACACACACACACACACACACACACACACATACAGACATATATACAAAAAAAAAACACACACAACACACACCTCAGCATAAAATGAGTACACCCCAACAGATTTGTCGGAAAACCTTTCCTTTCGTTTCAGAATCAACATTTTCTATGGGATACTATACTACAAAATACTCCCACAACTGTGGGCCATTGACTGCAAACAAGATTTGTTCATTTGCACACACACAAAAAAGTATTTTTCCTAACCAATTCATTCAAGACCATGTTGCAAAAATGAATACACCCCAATGAAAGTCTTAGGAGTAAAGCTAAATTTTAGACAACTTTACTTAAAGAAACCCCCTTCACATTTCATGCTGTCAGCAATGGCACCACATGGAAGAGGAATGTCACAAGGCCTGAGAAGGAAAGTAATTTCTTTACACTAGAATGGCGAAAGCTACAAGAAGATCAGGAAAGCTAAAGCTTTACTTATCAGTCAGAATACTGTAGCAAAAAGTATACAAAACATTTACCAATGATGGAACTGAAACCATCTCACAGAGACGTCCAGGCCACCCACAGAAGTTAACACCCAGACAGAAGCGTCTTCTGATGAGAAGAGTTGAAGAAAATTGCCATGCAAGTTCACAGCAGTTAGCTAAAAAAGTAGAAAAGCCAAACTGGGGTGATTGTTTCCCGTGCCACAATACGGCGTACACTGGAGAGGAATGGCATGCATAGGTGTTGTCCATGAAGAAAGCCTCTCCCAAAGCCCATGCACAAAAAAGCCCACCTAGAATTTGCCAGAGCCCATGCTGAAAAAGAAGACTACTGGGACTCTGTACTCTGGAGTGAGGAGTCCAAGATAAATGTTTTTGGAACGGATGACTTCAAAACTGTATGGCATCGCAAAGGTGAGAAGTACAAAGAAAAATGAATGGTGCCTACAGTGAAACATGGTGGTGGCAGTGTCCTTCTGTGGGGCTGCATGAGTGCTGCTGGTGTCATTGATGGTATTATGAATTCACAGATGTACTGTTCTATGTTGAAAGAGAAGATGCTACCATCACTCCGTGCCCTTGGTTGTCATGCACTTTTCCAACATGACAATGATCCAAAACACATATCTAAGGCCACTGAACAGGGTGAACTATGGGGAATTCTAAAGAGACAAGTTGAGCACCGCTTTCTATCCAGTATCCAGGCTTTAAAAGAGGTCATTCTTGAAGAATGGAAAAAGATAGATGTTGCAATAGGTCGTCAACTTGTTCATTCCATGCCTAGAAGACGTGGTGCTGTCTTTACAAATCATGGAGGTCATACAAAATACTAGATGTAGTAGTTTTTGTTGTGGGGTGTATTCATTTTTGCATCAACTAATTTGAGTAAACTGAATATTTTGTAATCTAAGTTATATTATTAACCTTACTTTCATGTAATGAGCTAAACAAAATGTTCTATAAAAACTCAGTTTTGTCAAAATGTTGGAAATTGTTCTTGTGTTCATTGAGATATTGATTAAAATCTTACTTTTCAAAAAGGGCTTTACTCATTTAAGCTGAGCACTGTATATATATTTTTGGACTGCAAATTTAAAGCAGAGCACCAGCCATTTTTGTGTTTATTAAAAGTCAGCAGCTACAAAAACTGTAAAATGCTGACTTTTGATAAACAGAGACTCATCTGTCCCAGAATCAAGCGATGTGCTCACCTGAGCTGTCCTTTTCCTCAGTCTTCTGTCCCCTTACAGCACGTGGCTATGCCAGCTTGCGGCTTCACAGCCGGGTGTCCACTGCGCATGTGCGAGCGTCACTACGCATTGTAAATGGTCCTGCAGTCTTCTTGGACCAGTCACGTGCCCTAATAGACTGCGGGGAGTAATGGGAGAGAACTTCCGTTTCCAATCAGATTAGGCAGTTGGAGTGTAAATGGTCAAAATCAGGTACTTGCTCCCCCCCCCACACCAAACAAAGTGCCATTTGGGGAAGAGGAGAAGGCAGGAAGCCTTAAAAGCAAAACTTGACATTTTGGGTGGAGCTTCACTTTAAGTAATTAGAAAACAAACGCCATATATAAAAGTAATTTCTAACACCCACCTGAGTCAATTCGAGCCTGCCTCCGGGCTGCGCACTCCTCAATGCGGAGCTTGGGGATTCCCTCAGCCACAGCTCTGGCCATGCCACCCATTTCTTCTATCTCCTCAATAAGCTGCTCCACAGAGAACAGGTAAAGAGTGAATAAAAGTGTCAATAAAAAGTATAAAAACATAGCAAAATTAAAAAACAAACAAAAAAAAAAAAAAAAAAAAAAACAGAAAAACATAGGTTTAAAGCCCAGCTCTAGGAAAATAAAAAAAATTGTGCATTTTTCATTTTACAAGACTATGTGGCGTTTTAGTATATATTCCTTCTTTTGCTAGGTAAATTTGAATAATTGCACAGACACATTTCATATTTACATTGCCAGCCAGCAGGTAGAGCTCTGCGCTCCATGTTGAAATGTTAATAGAATAATTTTAGCTGCTTTGCAGAATAAAAACAGTTTACAGAGCCCAGGCAGGTGAAGCTCTATTGTAGGCAAAGCTCAAAGCTGGAAAGAGAAAGCCTGCTAACAAAGAGCTACTGCCATGTGCTTACTTTGGAAAACTCTAATGTTTAAAAAAAGGAGAAGTATGGCCAAAGCTATTTTGGCTATACACCTCCTATGGGTCACAGGAGTGCACTTAGATCTGCACTCCTGTGACCCCAATTCAGCCAAACACAGGCTAAAGTCCACTGTCTGCTAACGTCACAGAACTAGTCCTGACTCGGCATGGATCCTGAAAATAATGCCGGGATTCGCCCAGATGCCTAACCGGCACCTGACTCAGCCTCTTGGTGTACCACTGAGAGCATTAGCCAGCTGCTCCCACACCCTTCACTGTCTAGTGCTGAAGTGAGCGCTTGAGGGGCAGAGCAAAGTGACTAACAGCGAGCTCTCTGCTCAGTGAAGACAGAGAACTGAGCGATCAATGGTCTTTCTCGGTCTTAAAGCCGGAAGGGTACAGATGCACCTAGGGAAGTATAACTGATTGTTTTTTGAAAGCCCACACTTCTCTTTTAAATATTTCTATAAAAAGTAAATAAAAAGATATAAAACATCAATGTGGATCACAGAATTTCTTCAAAAAAATAAAAGTGAACTAGAAAACTTAATTGTTTCACTTGAAGGAGCTTAAAAACAGAATTGGATGAATCCATAAATACAAAAGCTTTTTAAAAAAAGAGTGTAACTGTAGTCAAAATAATTTTCTTTGTTAGTTTTAGATAGAGTAGGGAATGGCTAAAACCACTAAAAGTTTGTTTTCTGTCTGTGTCCCTTTAGGGAAATTTTATTTTACTTCTGCCAGAAGACACAACAGAAGCAAGAGGAAATCTCTTTGAAACACTCGTCCCAATTGAAAGATCACCTCTGTACTCCTGTTCTGCTGACCAATCAAAGTTTTGGATTTCTTTGTCGGTGACACTGGTCATCAGTTCAAAGAGAGAGGCCGAATCTCCTCATGGGACGCACAGACAGCTATAAAAAAAAATCTGACAGGTTCTAACCCTTCACCACTCTATCCAATTTTTTTTTTTTTTATTATCTTGAGATACACTTTGAATGCAGTCCTAACCTTTAGAGCAGCTTGGTAAACGTCCTCCGTTACACACTCCATCATGTAGGAACCTCCCCAGGGATCGGCCACTTTAGGGATTCCAGACTCTTCTTGGATGATAATCTGGGTGTTCCGGGCTATTCTGGCACTCTTCACGGTAGGCAATCCTAGCGCCTCATCAAAGGAGTTGGTGTGCAGCGACTGAGTGCCTCCAAACACTGCGGCCATGGCTTCAATCACAGTGCGGATTACGTTGTTATAAGGATCCTGGTAATGGTAGTTTTGAGAACTTTAGTCTTTTTCATTTTTTTTTTCCCGAGACATACAGGTTCATTAACACAGCGTTGTGACCTGGATCAATGCAACTCAACCGCTAGGCTAGGGAACATAGAAAACAACTGTTTTCTATGTGTCCTATTTATATTTATCACAGCGCATCGGAATGCACTGCTGTGCTGTGGAGACATGAATGAAGTGTCACTTTGTGACACTCCAAATACAGTTTAAAAAATACTACAACCACATATACAAAAAATATGTTATTATGGCAGGGAAAAAGTATTATAAATGGGGCAGCACAGTGGCGAAGTGGTTAGAATTTCTGCTTAGCAGCACTAGAGTTATTGGTTTGAACCCAAACCACAAGACTACCTGCCTGGGGTTTGCATGTTCTCCCTGTGCCTGCGCGGGTTTCCCCCAGGTACCCTGGTTTCCTCCCACACTCCAAAAGACATGCTAATAGGTTAATTGGATCCTGTCTAAATAGTCATAGTATGTATGTAAATGGTCCTAGTATGTATGAATGTGAGCTAGGGACCTTAGACTGAAAGCTCCTTGAGAGAAGGGACTGATGTGAATGTACAATATATATGTAAAGAACTGCGTAAATTGACAGCACTATATAAGTACCTGGAATAATAATCATAATTAAAAAAAATAAAATTAAATCTAAGGAAGTAGGACATACTGAATAATTAAAGCAATTATAAACCCAAAACCAAAAAGTGTAATATATTGCAACTTGCTAATAATTAGAAGTGGAGGCTGCATTAGTTTTCTTCTTTTTTAAAGCATTATTTCCCCCTCTGTTTTCACCTGGTGATCTAGCCAGTGACACACCTCCTGTATTAGAATGCCTCCTCTCTGGATAAAGGAGCAACGTTAGACAGCAACACTGGCAGAAGGGTATAAGATGGACTAGAAGACTTTGTTCTGTTGAAAAACAACAGACTTACTGGCCAGATCACCAGGTGCAGGGTGACTGGTCTGGTCTCCGCCCTCTTCTGAAGTTTTCTGCAGGCAGCCTGTGGTGGATGAGGCCTGCAGGACCCCTCCCACAGCTCTGCTCAGGTTAGGTACAGCTCAGTGATGAGGTCACTGCTACTTTTACAAGAAAATAATTAATTGTATTTGTAAAGGCATTTGGTGCACCAGAAGTAGAGGCACTGTATATCCCTTGTGGATGTTGAGGAATGTATTCAAAAGGAAAATGTTCTGCCCTGAGTTGAGCTTTAACAAAGCTTAATAGCTCAAAATGAAAATTTACACACGTAATTGAGTCAGAGCAAAGGATGGCTCCCTCTGAAGTTTTCATTAGACAAAGCCAGCCTCAAAGCAGGCCTAGGTGGGTACCCCGTAGTGCTCTGGAAATTCTTTATCATATATTTAAATATTTAATTGTAAAAGGATTGTGTATGTGTATGTATATATATATATATATATATATATATATATATATATTTATTTATTATTATAATATACACAAACACACACACACACACACACACACACACACACACACTGTAATAACCATTAGAAACATAAAAACATAGTAAATTATAAGAAAATTAATCCCAAAGAGCAAATTCCTAAAGTTGGTAATTGAGAAGGATGAACAAGTACAATGATATCAAATCTCCCTTTACCTCCTTATCATCAAACCAAAAAGTACATACAATTTACCAGTCTACACCTTGTTTGGAAAAACGGTTATGTGTAAAATAGGTATTGAACATGACATCATTTTTCTCAGTAAATATATTTCTCAAGGTGCTATTGACATGAAATTTTCAAATGTCGGTAACAACCCATGCAATCCGTACATACAAAAGAAACCAAAACAAATACATTCAGAAGTTAAGTTCTGTGTAATAAAACAAAATGACACAGTGAAAAAGTATTGAACATGCTAACTGAAATTTATTTAATACTTCATACAAAATCCTTTTTTGGGAATGACAGCTTCAAGACACCTCCTGTATGGAGAAACTAGTCACATGCATTTCTCAGGTGCGATTTTGGCCCATTCTTTCACACAGTCTTCAAATCTGGAAGGTTCTGTGGGCCTCTTCTATGAACTCTGATCTTTAGCTTTTTCCATAGATTTTCTATTGGATTCAAGTCAGGTGATTGGCTGGGCCATTCCCGCAGCTTTATTTTCTCTTTCTTTGAAAACAAATGAGTTTCCTTGGCTTTGTGTTTGGTATCATTGTCTTGCTGAAATGTCCACCCTCGTTTCAGCTTCATCATCCTGGTAGATGGCAGCAGGTTTTTATCAAGAATGTCTTGGTACATTTTTTCCATTCATCCTTCCTTCAATGATATGAAGTTTGTCAGTATCGTATGCTGAAAAACAGCCCCACACCATGATGTTCCCACCTTCATGCTTCACGGTTGGGATGGTGTTTTTGGGGTGATGTGCAGTGCCATGTGACCTCCAAACATGGTGTGTACTATGGCATCCAAAGAGTTCAATTTGGTCCCATCTGACCAGACTATATTCTCCCAGTATTTCACAGGCTTGTCTTAATGTTGTGCAGCAACCTTTAAATGAGCTTCAACATGCTTTTTCTTCAGCAATAGAGTCTTGCGTGGTGAGCGTGCATACAGGCCATGGAGGTTGAGTGCATTACTTATTGTTTTCTTTTAAACAATTGTACATACTAATTCCAGGTCTTTCTGAAGCTCTCCACATGTGGTCCTTGGCTCTTGGACAGAGTTGTCCAAGATGATAATTATTTTCATCTGTCAGGAATCTTGCGAGGAGCACATGGTCATGGCCGGTTTATGGTGAAATTATGTTCTTTCCCTTCCAGATTATGGCATCAACAGTGCTCACCGAAAACATTCAGAAGTTTAGAAATCCTTCTGTAACCAATGCAATCAGTATGTTTTGCAACAACAGGGCTGTGAAGGTCTTGAGAGCTCTTACACATCATGAGATGTTTTTGTGTGACACCTTGGTAATGAGACACCTTTTTATAGGCCACCAGTTGAGACAGAACCAGCTGATATAAATTTGCACTGCAAGGGGCAGGAGTGCTTTCAAATTACTGATAGATTTCAGCTGGTGTCTTGGCTTTCCATGCCTTTTTGCACAACCCTTTCTTCATGTGTTCAATACTTTTTCCCAGCATCATTCCATTTTATTACACAAAATTATTACACAGAACTTAATTTCTGAACTTATTTGTTTTGGTTTCTTTGTATGTATGGATTGCTTTGGTTGTTACCAACACGTGGTGAAAATTTCATGTCAATAGTACCTTTATAAATATATTTGCTGAGAAAAGTGGTGACGTGTTCAATACTTATTTTACCCCCCCCCCCCCCCCATATGTATGGATCCCTCAGAGCTGTTTGCTGACATCCATTGGATAACAGAGCCCACTTGTTGGGGTGTGGTGTGTAATACACCACCCTCACCTGTTCGGTTAGGGACCAGCCAGAAGTCTGGCAGTGAGCTCGCAGTAAGAGGGATTTCTGATCTTTAGGCTGGAAATGCTTCTCGATCAGATACGCCCACAGACGTCGCCCTGCTCTCATCTTTGCGATTTCCATATAAAAATTCATCCCGATGCCCCAAAAGAAGGATAGTCTAATGATAGAGAAAAAATAATAAGTAAATAAACCTAAAATTAATAAACCTCCTATGAACCACAACATAATAAAACAAAGTATATGTAGACATTGTTATTTTTAATGGAAAATTAGACGCTTGGCATTCATGAAAATGATTCATCAGAAATGTTTTACCTGCCAAATGATTGCCAATTCTACCCAGGCATCTGTTTAAAACTCTGACAGCAGAAACCCTAGCAGAAAAATGCTGCTTTAAAAAAAAAAAAAAAAAAAAAAAAAAAAAAAAAAAAAAAAGAAAAAAAAGACTGGTAAAAGCTATATATTGCAGAAGCGTTTAAGCGTGTCAAGTGTCTGATCATTAATGCATTCCATTGGCTATGAGGGGGTTGAAATGCACATCAATCTTTACAAAATTTATCGGAAATTGATATTTTTGTGTATTAGTTGCCACCAAAAAGGAATATACATTTACTTTTGAAAAAATGGAGAGACAATGTGCGCTGGAGACTGGAGACTACAAAACCCAAGACGAATATTAAATGCAAGTATTGAAACACTGATTTTTGCCCATGTCAGCCCTCATAAGGGTGCCCCTCCACTGGTCTCTAAGGTATCTGCATTGCAATGGGAAAAGGGAAACCATGCTAAAAACTAACTAACCAATGATAGCCAAAAGGTAGCTATAGACACCTAATGGTTTCTACTATTATATGATGATCTTGATTTAGAATATCTACTGTAAAGGCAAATTTAAAGCATGATCAAAAATAACAAAAAAAATAAAAAATTGTACAGCCCAAATTCCACACTGATATTACATTACATCTTGGATGGGGCTGGTAATTTGAACCAGTTGTTGATTTCTTATATAACTTGCATAAAGGCAGTTTCACCCGACAGTGCAAACAGAGTAATCACGATACGTGTGAACCCTTTCTTCCCCACTGTGTCCTGTCCTGTGTTTTTATGCTGCTTTATTTTTTGTTCCTAATAAAGATAGATTTCAGCGTTTAGTGTGGTCGTCCAGATCCTTTCCCTTCATTCAATACTGATATTACATTTTGGCTGGACTGGTAGTTTGAACCAGTTGTTGTCTTCTTATATAACTTATATAGCATGAAAGTTATAGTGTCTACAAGCAATAGTGTGTGCGTGTGTACACACACACACACACACACACACACACACACACACACACACACACACACACACACACACAATCACACACACACAAAAAAATTAAAGGAACACTTTTTAATCAAAGTATAGCATCACATCAATTAAACTCCTGGGATATTGATCTGATCAGTTAAGTAGCAGAGGGGGTTGTTAATCAATTTCAGCTGCTTTGGTGTTAATGAAATTAACAACAGGTGCACTAGATGGGCAACAATGAGACAACCCCCAAAACAGGAACGGTTTTACAGGTGCAGGCCACTGACATTTTTTTCTCTAACTCATCTTTTCTGACTGTTTTTCACTAGTTTTGCATTTGGCTAGGGTTAGTGTCACTACTAGTAGCATGAGGCGATACCTGGACCCTACAAAGGTTGCACAGGAAGCCCAACTGCTCCAGGATGTCACATCAATACGTGCCATTGCCAGAAGGTTTGCTGCGTCTCTCCAGCACAGTCTCAAGAGTGTTGAGGAGATTCCAGGAGACAGGCAGGCAATTTTTTTTTATATTAGTAATGGCGGTGATCAGCGATTTATAGTGAGACTGTTACAGTGCAGTAGGCAATCTAACATTAACTGACACTGGGTGGGAACTGACTAAATGACACTTACATCTCCAGTGACACTAATACAGTAATCAATGCTAATAATATACACTGTCACTGTACTAATGACATTGACTGGGAAGGGGTTAACATTTAGAGACAATCAAAATGTTAATTTTGTGTACTGTGTGCTGTTTTACTAAGCAATGTGCTGGGTTTTGCAGGGAGAAAATAAAACAAACATGTCACTGCTGTCTTTAGAGAGCCCTTTACCAACACAGAGCTCTCTTCTGTCATTTGCTAAGCTGATCAGCAGGTTCTAGCCATAAATCATTAGCCGGGAACCACCGATCGGCATGTGCGGTAGAAAATGAAGGCACAGCCATGGAAGCCATGCTCCCTATCTGGAAGAGCCAAATCACATACATGTACAAGATCCGGGGCAGGGGGGCTGCTCTTCCACAGTATATCTGCGGTTGAAGCTGGGAAGTGGTTGAAGGTGCAGATACAGAATATGTACTTACCTGGGTGCAAATTCATCAATGGTCAGGCCAGCTTTCAGCCCAGTTCTGCAATACTCCAACCCATCAGCTACTGTATATGCCAGTTCCAAGACAGCATCTGCTCCTGCTTCCTGCATGTGGTACCCACTGATGGAGATGGAGTTAAATTTTGGCATGTACTATAGAAAGAACAGAAGGTGATGGGGGAGAGAGGGTGGTTAGTGACACAAATGGGATCTTACCAAGTACAGAACAAGTCCCAGTTAGCAAAGCCTAGGTGTATGTTCATTTCATACACAAACATACAGACAAAAAAAATAATGTCCCGATTTGGATATAACCCCCATCACCTAAAGGCCCAGTTATACATCATCACTATGTTACTGCTGCATAGCAAACGTTTAGGCTGCATTCACACCTGAGCATTTTGCAGCTCGAAGATGCTCAACAAGCAAAATCCCATTCATTTCAATGGCCCCTGTTTACATCTCAGCATGGACAGGGGCCACTGAAATGAATGGGATTTTGCTTGCGGAGTGTCTCCAAGCTACAAAACGCTCAGGTGTGAATGCAGCTAAAGGTCAGGTTACTATGCAGAAGCTTTTGCCTCCAATAACTCTCCTTATAATGCAGTAATTGCAGAACAAAACATGTCTACTCTACTGCAAGTTAATAATTTACTCAGTGAACACATGCATACACTAAGTGTTGCTAATTAGACATATACTTTAACCACTTTCCCTCCAGAGGATTTACCCCCTTCCTGCCAGCCATTTTATGCGTTACTTTACTTTAACTGACAATTGCGCGATCATGCAAGGCTGCACACAAATTAAATTTACGCCCTTTTTTTCCCACAAATAGAGCTTTCTTTCGGTGGTATTTGTCCTCATGTGCTTTTTAAATTTTTTGCGCTATAAAAAAAAAAAGACCGACAATTTTGAAAAAAAAAAAACCCAAAAACATATGTTTTTTAATTTTTGCTATTAAACATGTCCAGTAAAAACATTTAATACATCAAATGTCATCATAAATGTAGGCCAAAATGTATTCTGCTACATGTCTTTGCTATTTTATGTGAAAGTTATAGTGTTTTTACAAAGGCAGTATATATACTGGGCTTTCTTATAGCAGGACTGCGGGGGGGGGCATTCTGACACTGGGGGGAACGGACCTGGTGTCACTGACATCCCCAGTGACACCAATACAGTGATCAGTGCTATTAAAAAGCACTGACTGTACTAATGGCACTGGGAAGGAAGGGGTTAACATATGGGGTGATCAAAGGGTTAACTGTTTCATTTGTAACCGTGCGCTGTGTTTGTGCTTCACTGTAAGCACACTGCTTTGCATGACTGTGCTAAGCACACTGCTTTGCATGGCTGTGCTATGCACAGCCATGCTAAGCAGTGTGCAGGAGATGACAGGCGAGAGAAAGAACGGTTTTGTTTCCAAACAGTTCTCCTCCCCGTCGGACATGCTCGGTAATCACCGGCTGGGACCTGGTGATTGACAGCAGAGGCCGCGAATGGCGATGGGGCTAGGGCGCAAACGCCCCCTACCCGGAAATGCAAAATCTCTCACACACACACACACACACACACACACACACACACACACACACTGATTTTGTGCACTGCCACCCTGCCCTGTAGCAGTATTTCTGCTATAGGCAGCGGTAAAGCGGTTAACTAGACCATTCCGCTATGTGGTGACAGGATATCCTTAGAGAAGTTTAGGATAGTAAAAAAAGAAAAAAAAAAAAAAAAAAAAAACACACACACAACACAAGCACACATACTTATATGGCTGCAGAATTAATCAGATGCTGTGGCTGAACCCCCGATGGCTCTAAGCCCAAGAACTGATCGGTCATGTGAGCGCTTAGTTTTGGAGTCTGCTCTGAGCACAGAGCAATGACTGTCGGTCACCGGTTCTCTACTCTGCCCTTCAGCACTCACTGGAGCGCCCCCAGAAGAGGGCGTGGGACCAGCTGGCTCAGGCTCTCAGAGGCACATTGAGAGGCTGAGCCAGCTAATGATCAGGCATCTGGGTGGATGCCGATATCCTTCCAGAGTCCAGAGCCTCTAAAATATCAGCCGATAAATTTTAGCCCACTGTCAGCTGATTCTGCTTCACAGGAGAGCACAAGTAAGTGCACTCCTGTGACCCTCAAGAGAAGTATGGCCAAAAGAGCTTTAGTCATACATTTCTTTTTAAGAACTCCAGGTAAACATAAAATATACATCTATACACCTAATGCAGCTTTGTATTCTTTAATCACTTGAGGATTTTAAACGTACATGGGGGAGATACAATTAGGTCCATATTTATTCGGACACAGGCACAATTTTAGTTTTTTTTCCAGGTATTTACAAAAATATATTCAAGCTATAGTTATATAATGGATATGGGCTGAAAGTGCACACTCTCAGGTTTAATTTGAGGGTATGTACATCCAAATTGCAGGAAGGGTTTAGGAATTACAGCCACCCTCTCTTTTTCAAGGGATCCAAAGTAATTGGATGATTGACTCAAAAGCTGTTTCATGGCCAGGTGTGGACTACTCCGTTATTTCTTCATCAATTAAGCAGGTAAAAGGTCTGGAGTTGGTTCTAATTGTGGTATTTACATTTGGAATCTATTGCTGTGAACCTACATCATGTGTTCAAAGGAGCTGTCCATGCAAGTGAAACAGGCCATTGTAAGGCCTCAAAAATGAAACAAATCCATCAGAGACATAGCAGCAACATTAGGAGTGGCCAAATCAACAGTTTGGTACATTCTGAGGAAGGAATAACGCACTGGTGAGGTAAGAAACATAAAAAGGCATGGACGTACTCTATGGTAAAGAAAAACCCATTCACAACATCCAGACAAGTGAAGGACACTCTCCAGGAGGTGGGCGTATCATTGTCAAAGTCTACAATCAAGAGAAGACTTCACGAGAGCAAATACAGAGGGTTTACCACAAGGTGCAAAAACCATTCATAAGCCTGAAGAATAGAAAAGCCAGATTAGACTTTGCCAAAAAACATCTAAAAAAGCCAGACCAGTTCTGGAAAAGTATTCTTTGGATGGATGAAACTAAGATTAATCTGTACTAGAATGACGGGAAGAAAAAAGTGTGAAGAAGGGCTTGGAACAGCTCATAATCCAAAGAACACAACGTCATCTGTAAAACATGGTGCAGGCAGTGTGATGGCATGGGCATACATAGCTTACAGTGGCATTGGGTCATTGGTGTTTATTGATGATGTGACAGAAGCAGCCGGATGAATTCTGCAGTGTTTAGAGATATACTGTCAGCCCAGATTCAGCCAAATGCAGCAAAGGTTGATTGGACGGCTCTTCACAGTACAGATGACAATGATCCAAAACACACTGCAAAAGCAACCCAAGAGCTTTTGAATGAAAAGAAGTGGAATATTCTGCAATAGCCGAGTCAGTCACCTGATCTCAACCCTATTGAGCATGCATTTCACTTGCTGAAGGCAAAACTAAAAAGGAAGAAAGACCCACAAGCAAAGAACTGAAGACAGCTGTAGTTAGAGCCTGGCAAAGCATCAGAAAGGAGGAAACCCAGTATTTGGTAATGTCCATGGGTTCCAGACTTCAGGCAGTCATTGCCAGTAAAGGATTCTCAACAAAATATTAAAAATGAACATTTTATATTTATGATTATATTCATTTGTCCAATTACATTTGAGTCCCTCAAAATGGAGGGAACTGTGTATAAAAAATGGTTGCAGTTCCTAAAATATGTACTTAAAATTTTCTGCTCAACCCCTTGAACTAAAGCTGAAAGTCTGCACTTCAAATTCATGTGGAGCGTTTCATTTTAATTTATTCTGGTGGCATACAGAGCCAAAAGTAAGAAAATTGTGCCTTTGTCCAAATATATATGGACCTAACTGTATGTCCTAAAACCGTTAACAAAGTCTCCTATGTTCAGGTGCTCTCACCCTGGTGCCACTCTCCCTGCTGCTCCTACAGGCAATTTTCTGCTGTCAAAATGACAGCGGGAATTGATATAGATTAGATAGCAAAAGCAGCTGTTGAAATGCAAACCCTCCTGTGTAAAACAGATGCAGATATTCTGCACGTCATTGATTAATACAGTGTAACATCATATTGTTGCATTGACATGTATAAAATAGTAAATGCAAATGTGTACTTCTATTTAACTCCTTATTAACCCTAAGCCTCCATGCACATTGGCTTAAAAATCATCGCTTCTACACGTTCGTTGTTTAAGCTCTACGTTTAGAGGCAAGAGAAAAAACCCTTCTGGTTTGTGTTTTTGATTGGAGTTTTCTGGCAGAAAAAAACACTAAACTCTCATAAACTTGCTGAAACAGTGTACAAAAATGATCTATATCAGCGTTTTGTTCTGCCAAGGGAACTGGCGTTTTTTTTTTTTTTTTTTTTTAAGCCCAGTGTGCATGGAGCCTTAGTTAACCAAAATCAGCCCTATATAAACACATTAACGCCTTCCTTTCTTCTCCTACAAGTTTTCATTTATTTAACCTTTTTTTAATGGAACAATAAAACAACTTTTTTAAAAACACTGGTAAAAAGAAAAATACTTTTTTTTTCCCCATTTTACAGACTTAGGTCTATAGATTACATGGACAATAAAGCTGGAGCTGAACGCATTCCTAAATGTAAAATATAAAACTGAATACTAATATTTATAGGTAATAACACCAGGGATTGCTGATCCAGGGAACCTCCAATTGCCTCCTGGGGTATCAGGAAGGAATTTTTTTTCCCTACTGCAGGAGAAAATTGGATCATGCTTTATTGGGGTTTTTTGTCTTCTTCTGGATCAACTGTGGGTGTAGGACTGTGTGTTTATTTTTCTATTGGTTGAACTAGATGGACTTCTTTCTATTTCAACCTGACTAGCTATGTAACTCAGAAAGCCAAGTTTGTCCACAGAAAAAACAAACAAACAATGTATATATAACTTTGCAGTCTTAAGTAATAAAGTTAGCATCAAATGAGCAGGTCCATAGCAGATGTAAAATGTAAATGTAAAAATGCTTTGATCCATTATACATAATAAGGTTCGAGGGCTGAAGTGGTTTATTAAATTTCATTTTTGTTTTAATGCAAGCAGTGTAAAGTACCTGAACTCGACCTGGTTTCAGGTCCCTGTACAGCAAGGTACAAAGTGTGAGAGGAAGGAGCAACACATGGAGCCAGTAAGTTCATATGCTGACAAGGAGCATGCTGATAGGAAGGGAGAGCAAAGTGACAAGCTTATCAGTAAGCTGCTTCTCGATTACTGCCAGTCAAAGGTTGGGAACAGGTCCATGACAGCATGGGCTTAAATCATTCAACCCAGAAAACGGAGGACATTCAGCCCGGGTTCATAATGATGTGGTGCAGAATTCGCAGAGTTTTCTGTGCGAATTCTGCACTGCATCAGAATCGCACCCTGTTCATGTGAACCGCTGCGGGTGTGTATGTTAAAAACACCCCGAAAGCGGGCCGCAAAACGTGTTGTGATGTGCAAAATTGGATCGCATAGGTGTAAATACCCATGCGATCCGATTCTAGTGCGGACCAAAAAAAAGGGTCCTGCATGTTTTCTGATGCGGTGCGATTAGAGCCACACAAAATGTATTTTGCACCGCACACAAATCGCATGTGATTTGCACAGGAATGCAGTGCGGTTCCTGTGCAAATCACATATATCGCACCGCACATATGGGAACCCAGGCTTAGTGTGAAAATGGAAGTAATGCTATGAACGTAATGTGAGTATTGCACAAAACATTGTTTTTTAACCTTTTAATGGGCTATTATTTTTTTGGCCAGCGAAAAGTACTTACAGGTAAGTCCTTAGTCTCCCCATGACATTAACTAAAGAGCAGTAAGAGTATCTTACCTGAGATGTGTACTGGAAGATATCAGCAATGATTTGCATGGAAGGCTCTGGAGGAAATATATATGTATTCCTAACCATAAACTCCTTTAGGATGTCATTCTGTATGGTCCCGGTCAGCTTCTCCAGAGGAACGCCCTGCTCCTGACCAGTGACTATGAACATGGCCAGGATGGGTATGACGGCACCATTCATGGTCATAGAGACAGACATCTTCTCCAGAGGAATGCCATCGAACAGCATCTTAGTGTCCTCCACTGAGTCAATCGCCACCCCCGCCATGCCGACATCTCCATGAACTCGAGGGTTGTCAGAGTCATAGCCTCGATGGGTGGCCAGGTCAAACGCAACAGACAAGCCCTGCTGACCAGCTGCAATGAAACCAGACATAGTAAAAAGCACAGTAAAGAAGGCTGCTGAGAAGGAGCAATGTATAATAGATTTCTAGAGTACTATGGCAGGTTAAGGAAGAACCTAGTGAAGATCGGGATAAATATCAGCTTTGAGAGAAATAAAGGCATTGTCATCATTAATCTCGCTTTCTGAGAATGCTAAATGCTTGACTGGCATATTGATGCTTTGCGTGCAATACTTTGTGTTACTAACCTGGAACAAGTATAGAAATAAGTAAAATGTGACTTTTCTCCAAACCTGTTTTGCTGCGTAATCATTACACATCAGAAATTCAAAGCTACTAAAGTCAGATACAGACAGGCAGCAGGAAGGTTCGGGGGGTGGCCAGCAAGTGCAGGGACTGTTTTACTCATGACAGGTACACTTCCATACCTAACCCCAACCAAAGTTTTTTTTTTTTTTCTTCTCGTTTTGGACAGAACTGAGAAAGGTTAGAATTACCGTTGCATCGATATCGGTATCAATACGAACCATTTTCAAAAATACTTGTACTCGTGCAGATGCCCCAATCCTAAAACCGATACTTTCAAGTCCGCAGACCGTAACCGTCACCTTTATGAAGAGAGATGCAGGAGAATGTTGCACGAGGCAGCTCCCGGATGTCTGACGTCACACACGTCCAATCGGGTGCGGAAGCGCATGATGTGACATCCAGACCGCAGAAGCTCTGGCAAGTACTCTACCGCTTCATCACCATGACACAGGCAGGTGAGCTGGGCATTACGTGTAAAAAATAAATGCATCCAAGGACAGTTATTGATTTTAGGGTATATCAATATAAGGGTGCAGCGCTAAGACATAGTGTGTAACATAATACGTAATGAATAACATAAGGTGCAAGATAATTAACCAATTCAATACCGGGCAATTTTACACCTTCCTGCCCAGGCCATTTTTTACGTTTCAGCGCTCTCACACTTTGAATGACAATTGCGCGGTCATACAACATTGTACCCAAACTAAAATTTTATCATTTTCTTCACACAACTAGAGCTTTCTTTTGCTGGTAATTAATCACCGCTGGGGTTTTTATTTTTTGCTAAATTAACAAAAAAAAAGACCAAAAATTTTGAAAAAATTGTTATAAAAGTTTACAAATAAATAATTGTTCTTCATAAATTTAGGCCGAGATGTATTCTGCTACATGTCTTTGGTGAAAATAACCCAAATTAGGATGTATTATTTAGTTTGTAGGAAAATTATAGAGTTCACAAACTATGGTATAGATCTGGATATTGATCAGTCCTGAAGTACTGACAGCCAATCTAATTTCTTGAGGTCCAAGAATGTCAGAATAGTACAGATATCCCCCAAATGACCACTTTTTGCAGAGTAGACAATCTGACGTACTTCATAAGAAGCATGGCGAGTTTTTTGAAGTTGTATTTTTTTTTCATAATAATTTTTTCGGAAAATGAAAAAAATTTAAAAAAATATTTTCACAATTTTTTTTACATACTGTCACCAGTATTTTTTTTATTATTTTTAATTTTTTATTACATTTTTTTTTATTTTTTTTAAGATTTTTTTTCATATTTTACTATGACCAATGTAGTACAATATTACCATAGTAACATTGTACTACTTTGGGGAAGTGATCAGTATTTTTTTTTGTTTACACAATTTGCTTATAGCAAAGAATTACTTTGCTATAAGCAAGCATTTACCTGAATGACATCGATTCATTCAGGGCTTTTTTTTTTGTGCTTAGCTGTGATTTGGCCACAGCTAATCACATGACATGTGCATGTGACCTGCTGTGACCATTCACTGCTAGACACTAGTATGCAATGGATGGCATGAATGAAGCCATCCATTGTATACAACTGTCATGTGACCTGCTGTGATTGGTCACAGCAGGTCACATGGTACCGGCAACGGGGGCCGGTACTCAGATCTGTCATCGGCCGTGTCCGAGGTACACGGCCGGTGACAGATCACGCCGCTAGGCGGCTCTGCAACCGTGCAAACTGCGCATGTGCGGGAGGACGCCAAATGGCATACACCCCGGAAAGCTAAAGCATTTTTGCGGCCGCCAAAACGGCTATAGGCCGGGCGGCAAATGGTTAATATTTATATACTGTATATACAAACCATGGGCAATGGTTTGTGGACACCTGACCATCTCACTTATAGGACATCCCATTCCAAGACCATGGGTATTGCCATTGAGCCAGAAATAGGAGCCAACTTCATATGAATTCTTCTAGAAAGGCTTACCAAAAGAGATTTTAGCATGCATCTGTGGGAATTTGGGCTTATTCAGCCAAAAGAGCATTTGCTGATGTTGGACAAGAAGACCTTTCTGGCAATCAGCATTCCAGCTCATCTCAAAAGAGTTCAGTAAGGCTAAGGTCAGGGCCAGGGATGTCAACTATCCGTAGATTTACAGACAGAATGTAAATTTTAACCATTTACGGGCTGTCCATAAGTGCCCGTTTATGGATGGAGGGTGTCTGTGGAAAACGCCGGGAAAATCATTATTCGCATGGGTGGTGCCAGAAGTAGCCGATGATGTGGTGGCAAGTCAGGTCTGCGCATGCACACTGGCTATTTCTGTGACGTCATTGAGCACACCCGTCCACATCTATAAAACTGTGCGACCGCTTCCCACCCACTACCATTTCTCAGCCGGACTATCGGCCTGCTGTGTCACTCTCCTCCACCAGAACGCTTGCCTGTAAAACTCACACAGGCCACAGAAAGAAGCGGTATGTTTGCTAGCCTAGTACTACTACTCTGTCACCGGTATTTTGGTCATTTTTGTGTGCACACAAAAGTTCAGTTTGCCTTTGAGAATGCAAACAGGCCACAGCACCACTTCCCTGCCTATGCGTAAGCCTACTCTGTCATTCAGATGTCGATGTCATTCAGTTAAATGCTTGCTTATAGCAAATAAATTCTTTGCTATAAGCAAATTGTGTAAAAAAAAAAAACTGATCACTTCCCCAAAGTACTTGGCTGTCAGTACTTCAGGATTCAGTACTTCAGTACTCAGATCTGTCATCGGCCGTGTCCGAGGTACACGGCCGGTGACAGATTGCACGGCTCTGAAACCGCGCGAACTGCGCATGTGCGGGAGGACGCCAAATGGCGTGCACCCGAAAAGCTGGAGCATTTTTGCGGCCGCCGCCAAACGGCTATAGGCCGGGCGGCTAATGGTTAAGTGCAAAAATGAAATGCCACCAAGTGGTTAACTTAGTGAATAAATGTCCCAAATGAAACAGCCTATGTGAGGATCTTGTACGATCACAATATTCGTGTGTGGAAATCTGATCCGGGGTGGCAGATGATAAATCCGATTAAATAAATTGCGCACTCACCAGAAGTGCGTAAATACATGCATTTGAGATATAGCCTGTCTCATCAGGTATTACTCAGTTCATCTGCTCCCAGGTCAGGTCAGGTTCCTATACAACTTCTGGTCACATCTGAATAGGGTGCTCAGGGGTCCTTGATGTGTATCACCGTCTGGGGTCACCTTTAAAGCAGGCTCTGCGCGGATGACGGAACTCACAAAGAGAGCCCAAATAAGTATCACGGTATGTGGTGTCCCTTATTTGGGCTCTCTGTGTGAGTGCCGTCATCCGCAGAGCCTGCTTTAAAGGTGACCCCAGACGGTGATACACATCAAGGACCCCTGAGCACCCTATTCAGATGTGACCAGAAGTTGTATAGGAACCTGACCTGACCTGGGAGCAGATGAACTGAGTAAATACCTGATGAGACAGGCTATATCTCAAATGCATTTACGCACTTCTGGTGAGTGCGCAATTTATTTAATCGGATTTATCATCTGCCACCCCGGATCAGATTTCCACACACGAATATTGTGATCGTACAAGATCCTCACATAGGCTGTTTCATTTGGGACATTTATTCACTAAGTTCACCACTTGATGACATTTCATTTTTGCACTTAATTATCTTGCACCTTATGTTATTCATTACGTATTATGTTACACACTATGTCTTAGCGCTGCACCCTTATATTGCCATACCCTTTGGAAGGTTTTATTTGGTTGCCTTTTTGGTGTTCCAGCGGCTATTCTCTTCTCAGGTAGCACTCGCTTAATGTTCTTTATTAAATATTGATTTTAGGTTTGCAGGTCTACCACTATACCACCAGAGCAGAGGCACAGCAAATAATTGTAGTGAAATAAATAGGTTAAAAAAAAAAAAAAAAAACCTTAAAAATAATGAAATGTATTATTTAATTTGTACATAAATATATAAAATTCATACACTGCTGGGCAACCACTACAACACCAGGGTAAAGTCTTTTGAGTTACAGTTCTTCATAAAGGGCAGCACAGTGGCTAAAATGGTTAGTACTTCCGCCTGGCAGTACTAGGGTCGCTGGTTTCGAATCCCAACCCCAGCACCACCTGCCTGGAGTTTGCATGTTCTCCCTGTGACTGCATGGGTTTCCTCCGGTTTCCTCTAACACTCCAAAGACATGCTGGTAGGTTAACTGGCTCCTGTCTAAATTGGCCCTAGTATGTGTATGTATGGATGTGAGTTAGGGACTTTAGATTGTACGCTCCTTGAGGGTTAGGGACTGATGTGAATGTACAATATACAGTGGAGCAAAAAAGTATTTAGTCAGCCACCAAATTGTGCAAGTTCTCCCACTTAAAAAGATGAGAGAGGCCTGTAATTGGCATCATAGGTAGACCTCAACTATGAGAGACAAAATGAGAAACAAAATCCAGACAATCACATTGGCTGATTTGGAAAGAATTTATTTGCAAATTATGGTGGAGAATAAGTATTTGGTCACCTACAAACAAGCAAGATTTCTGGCTCTCACAGACCTGTACCTTCTTCTTTAAGAGGCTCCTCTGTCCTGCACTCATTACCTGTATCAATGGCACCTGTTTGAACAGGTTATCAGTATAAAAGACACCTGTCCACAACCTCAAACAGGCAAACTCCAAACTCCACTATGGTGAAGACCAAAGAGCTGTGGAAGGACACCAGAAACAAAATTGTAGACCTGCACCAGGCTGGGAAGACTGAATCTGCAATAGGCAAGCAGCTTGGTGTGAGCAAATCAACTGTGGGAGCAATAATTAGAAAATGGAAGACATACAAGACCACTGATAATCTCCCTCGATCTGGGGCTCCACGCAAGATCTCACCCCCGTGGGGTCAAAATGATCACAAGAACGGTGAGCAAAAATCCCAGGACCACACGGGGGGGACCTAGTGAATGACCTGCAGAGAGCTGGGACCAACGTAACAAAGGCTACCATCAGTAACACACTACGCCGCCAGGGACTCAGATCCTGCAGTGCCAGACGTGTCCCCCTGTTAAGCCAGTACATGTCCGGGCCTGTCTGAAGTTTGCTAGAGAGCATTTGGATGATCCAGAAAAGGATTGGGAGAATGTCATATGGTCAGATGAAACCAAAATAGAACTGTTTGGTAGAAACACAACTCGTCATGTTTGGAGGAGAGAGAATGCCGAGTTGCATCCAAAGAACACCATATCTACTGTGAAGCATGGGGGTGGCAACATCATGCTTTGGGGCTGTTTCTCCGCAAAGGGACCAGGACGACTGATCCATGTACAGGACAGAATGAATGGGGCCATGTATCGTGAGATTTTGAGTGCAAACCTCCTTCCATCAGCAAGGGCATTGAAGATGAAACGTGGCTGGGTCTTCCAACATGACAATGATCCCAAACATACCGTCCGGGCAACGAAGGAGTGGCTTCGAAAGAAGCATTTCAAGGTCCTGGAGTGGCCTAGCCAGTCTCCAGATCTCAACCCCATAGAAAACCTTTGGAGGGAGTTGAAAGTCCGTGTTGCCCAGCGACAGCCCCAAAACATCACTTCTCTAGAGGAGATCTGCATGGAGGAATGGGCCAACATACCAGCAACAGTGTGTGCCAACCTTGTGAAGACTTACAGGAAACGTTTGACCTCTGTCATTGCCAACAAAGGATATATAACAAAGTATTGAGATGAACTTTTGATATTGACCAAATACTTATTTTCCACCATAATTTGCAAATAAATTCTTTCCAAATCAGCCAATGTGATTGTCTGGATTTTTTTTCCTCATTTTGTCTCTCATAGTTGAGGTCTACCTATGATGCCAATTACAGGCCTCTCTCATCTTTGTAAGTGGGAGAACTTACACAATTGGTGGCTGACTAAATACTTTTTTGCCCCACTGTATGTATGTAAAGCGCTGCGTAAATTGACGGTGCTATAGAAGTACCTGAAATAAATAAAGAAGCAGTAATTTTTCATGAGTCTAAAAAAATAGGTATCGGTAATTGTATTGGTGAGTACCTAAGAAAAAGTATTGATACTTGTACTCTGTCTTAAAAGACTGGTATCGGTGCATGCCCGCCCGAGAGGAACATTAAGACACAAGCATGGTGTAGCACTGCTAAGCAGAGAGCCTGAATGTGTAATGAGCGATCATGGCTATCCCTATATACAAACAGGATAAACTCAGCAATAACTCCTGGCTGAGGCAAAGAAATCAGGAAAATTGAGTATACTCTGAGTGCAGAGATGACATCTAGGGACGAATAGACCCCCGAGGTCTCCACTAAGAGGTCCCCTAGTGACAACATAATAATACAAATAAGTATTAATAGTTCTAAGGCCATCAATTACAGTTAACTATGACCACTTGACCCCAGGCCAGTTCTGACACTTCTCACATACATGTAAAAACATTTTTTTTTACTAGAAAAATTACTTAGAACCCCTAAACATTCTATTTTGTTTTTGAAAGCAGAAATCATATTGAATAAATGTCGCAATTCTCAATGTCGTACAATAATAGTGCAGCCAATACTGGGCCTTTGTCCGTGAGGCTGCATATAGACATACCTGTGTTTGTGCTAGGAGCGCACCGCACAGCATGCCCCCAGCACAGAGACTGGGCCCTCACTGAGAGCCCTGGGTCTCATACTAACAAATCGGGACCCAGGACTCTCGATTAACTGATCGATGTGATAGCCACTGATTGGCTATAACAGTGATTAACCACTGTGCAGCCTGCCCCTGTGTTTTCTTCCTTTTTTGAATAGAGAGAAAGATACTTTGTATCTTCCTCTTCTTGAAGGAGAAAAAGATGTAAACAAACAGAAGTGTGTAAAAAAAAAAAAAAAAAAAAACCTAAAGCTAGATCCAGGTTTGATCTAGGTCAGTGCCAGGGATAGTGTTAGGCTGCTTTCTGACAGATACACTTTTGGTGCGTTCTTCAGGTAAAATAAAGCAGAAGAAAAAACTGCATCACTTTAAATCCTTTACACTGTTCCGTTATGCTTCAGTTGCGGTTAGAAAAATCCTGCTTGCTGTATTTTGGTGCATGTTTGATCCAGTGTAAAAAACAAAACAAAAAAAAAAAAAACAAAAAAAAAAAAAAAAAACGCACCAAAAATGCAAGGAAAACACTACAAACCTGTGGGAAGTTCTCAACCCCAGTTTACAAAATCGCATGACAAGGGAAATCACATTATATTCAATGGTGCCCTTCTAATCAATTCAGCACAGTGCGATTTTGGAAAAGGTTCCTGGTGGACTTGCACAGCATGGTATGCCTGCAGAGAGGATTCCCACATCTCTCCTGTGTGAACTCTATGACAGCCTAGGTTCACACAGGAGCAGTGGGGAAACCGCATGCGATTTGGACAGGAATCGCATTCCTGTTCAAATTGTATGCTATTCTTTGCAGTGCAATTTGCATCCATATATTTTAAATCGCATCGCAAAGTATCGGTATTGGCACAAACTTGACCGACAGTACTGGTACTCGCCGATATAAAAAAGGGTATCTGTACATCCCCACTATTAGCAATAAATATATACAGCTACATTTAATTCTTTTTTATATATACACAGCTACATTTAATTCTTTTTTATATATACACAGCTACATTTACTTTTTTATATATACATAGCTACATTTAATTCTTTTTTATATATATACATACATTTAATTATTTTTTATATATATACATATATATATATATACACATATATATATATATACATACACACACACACTTAATTCTTTATATATATATATATATACATATATATATATATATATATATATATACATACTACATACATACGTGGTAGAGCTTCTTCAAAGCACACAGCAATACACATATTTAAGGGCTTTTTTATATATATTTTATTTACAAACAAGTTCAAACACACATATATACCACACAGGGTATTGATCATCACACAGCTACATTTAATTCAGCCTTCCTTTTTTATACTGAGCTTGATGTCTGCACAGCTACATTTAGACACGGCTTTTTTTACACCGCTGGCACTACACACAGCTAATTAGCAGCCCCTTTGCTTTTGGCTCCCACCTCTCCTAGCTTTACCTGACTTACTATACTGCCATTTAAGCCTTTTTTTTACTATACAGCTGCCGGGGTGGAGCCAGAACCTTGGTCCTTCTTTTTAAATACCTGCACACACCTTAATCAGTTTTTTTCCCAAAACCTAACAGGATTGGAGATTTCATCCCTCCCAGATCTCTTTGAAATCTCCAGGCTCCAGATATACAGACCTTACAAACAAAGGAGGAAGGTTAACTTTCCTCCATATCAAACATTTACCCTGGAGCCCCTTTTTGTTGAGAATCCAGGGTGACATACAGCACAATATATATATATACATATTATATATATATATATATATATATATATTTTTTATATATATATATATATACACATATACACACACACACACACATTTAATTCATTTAATTCTTTTTTTATATACATAATTCTTTTTTTATATACAGCTACATTTAATTCTTTTTTTTATATATACAGCTACATTTATTTTATTTTTATATATACAGCTACATTTTTTTTATATATATACACACAGCTACATTTAATTCTTTTTTTATATATATATATACATATACATTTATATTATAATATATACACAGCTTTTTTTTTTATATATTACACAGCTACATTTAATTCTTTTTTTTTACATATACAGCTACATTTAATTCTTTTTTTTATATATATACAGCTACATTTAATTCTTTTTTTTACTATACAGCTACATTTAATTCTTTTTTTTATATATACAGCTACATTTAATTCTTTTTTTTACATATACAGCTACATTTAATTCTTTTTTTTACATATACAGCTACATTTAATTCTTTTTTTTACATATACAGCTACATTTAATTCTTTTTTTTTATATATTTTTAGGCCAGTTTTCTACTACAATCCGTCTGGATACACAAAGCAGTTGACGCGATAGGTACATTTTTACCAACACATGTCAAAGCTGCAAAATTGTGTTCAGATATTAACATTCACTTGTTTTTGACTCAGCTTCTGTGGTCAGACTTTTAACCCTTTAGTGACTGACGCTTACCTTTAATGTTGTCCCTATAGAACTTGTTGCTCTCCTCCACTGTGCTGAACCCAGCGTACTGTCGTATAGTCCAGGGTCTGTGCGTGTACATAGTGGGGTACGGACCGCGGGTGAAGGGTTTGACTCCAGGTAGCTCCTCCGGTGTATCTACTGTGTCTCTCTTGGTGTATAGAGGCTTTATCACGATGCCCTCGGGTGTATGCCATCTCAGGCTCTCTGGGTCCTTCCCTTTCAGCTGTTTCTTGGCTAGAGCTGCCCATTCTGGGTGTAAAGTCTGATGGTGCAGGCTTCGTACAGAGGGGCAGCTGCTGAGTCTGAGGAAGGCCGGCAGTCTGCTAGGTGAAGGGAGCTGCTTTATGTTCTGTAGCACCAGATGCTTCATCTTCGTCCTCAACATGATCCAGAGGAGCCCAGCAGTCTGGACAGACAGACCTGGAAGAACAACAGACAAAACATTAGAAATAAAGTGAATTCCAGCAAAACTCAGTTTCTGATGAAAGTGGGAAGGATTGTGATTGTGTGCACTAACATTTTCATGTATAAGCAGGTGTGACATCATCCCACACCGGACAATCAAGGCAGCTGAAGATCGGCACCCAGAAAAATCTGGGAAGAAGATGCAGACACCAGTGAGGGACCTTGTGCTGGAGCATAGGCGAGTATTTCTTTCCTTTGGTTCGGTGGTAAATGGAAGGGCTTTGTTTAACCACTTCATGCCTGTAGGATGTACCTGTAGGTTCTTGGGTTATACCGAGGCCATGGCTGCAAATATGACCACGGTATCAATCTTTTCAGCCGCCAATGATAAATAATGTAAAAGTGATCATAGCGGCTATTTAGCCACTGGATCACTTTTACATACGGCGGAAGATGCCCCCTCCCAGCTAACCATACAGATATAGCAGGAACGGAAGTTCCCTGATCATCAATATGATCAATGAAACAACAAAGATTTTGTCACTTCCAGTTACTGGCTTGTAACAGCACCTGATCAAACCGATCTTGTTTGATCAGATGCTTTGGAAACCAGAGGAGAGATCCAGAGTCTAACAGACCCCAGATATCTCAGTAAAGAGGACCTGTCATGGCTCATGCTATGACAAGGGATGTTGTTCATCCTCTGTAATAGCAATAAAAGTGATGACTATAAAAAGCATTAAAGAGACCGAATAAAAGAAAAAAAAAAAATTTACAGCACCTACGCCTCCTTGTGCTCATGCGCAAAGATGCACGTGCACATAGGTCGTGCATGCATACTGGAATGGTATTCGCACAACACACCACCACAAACATTGTGGAAAGAGCAATAATCCTATCACCAGACCGCCTGTGTAACTATAAACTGGTAACCTGTAAAGGCTATTAACCACTAGCCTACAGGGCCCTTTGATTTACAATTGCGCGGTCATGCAACACTGTACCCATATGAAATTATCATTATTTTGAGACAGAGCTTTCTTTCGCTGGTGTTTAGCACCTCTGGGTTTTTTATATTTTGCTAAACAAACCAAAAACAACAAAAAATTTTGAAAAAAAAAATGTTTTTTTCTTAGTTCTAGTTTTAAAATTTTGTAAATAAGTGATTTTTCTCCTTCACTGATATGCGCTAATGAGGCTGCAGAGATGGGCACTGATGGGCATTAACAGGTATCACTGATGGACACCGAAAGGCAGCACTCATATATGGCACTGACTGGCACGGTTAGGCAGCACTGATGCTCGGCACTGACGGGCAGCACTGACTGGCACTGATAGGTGGCACTGACAGATGACACTGAAAGGCAGCTCAGATGAGCACTGATATGTGGCATTGATGTGACACTGATGGGCACTGGCAGGTGGCATTGATGGGCAGTGGCAGGTGGTACTGCTGGGGCTACACTGATCATCAGTGCCCTGATGATCAGTATACATGTCCCCTCCAAGGAATGCCGATTACCAGCTCTCCTCTCTTCAGGAGCTGTCAGTGTGACAGCTCGTGAGGAGAGAAATGCTGATAATTGCCATTTCCCTATTTACATGAGATCAGCTGTGATTGGACACAGCTGATCAAGTGACGGGGCTGAAATCTTCGGCTCTTTCCATTGATCGGTGATCTGCTGTGTCCGAGGGACACAGCACACGGCCGATCGCCGCGCGCTCCCAGAGCCGCGCATGCGCAGTTAGAATGGGAGGACGTCATATGACGTCCTCCCAGAACGAGAGAACCACCTTGCGTCCGTCATTGCTTTATATGGCAGGCGGGAGACGGTTAAAGCATTGCCTATGGAGATTTTTTAAAGTGTTACTAAACCCAGGACCCTGCATTCACTATATCTGGTCTCCCACAGTACACACATGGAAGTGCAATTATTTCAGTAAATATAAACTGCTAAATACCGTTTCTCATCAGCAGTTAGAGCAGTCTTGTGACTTCTATCAGTGCTCAACAGGGCACATGTTAAAGCTTGTAGCAGTTTTATTTCTGCTCTAGGAGGATGCAGAACCCCTGACCTATGTCTGGACATTGCTGATCAGCCCTGTGCTGATCACATGCACTCTCCCTAGCAATACACACCAAACTGAGCATGTGCAGAATGGCTACGGTTCAGTCTAGATATAAGATGTCCAAATTTGAACAAGAGGAGCAGCAGAGAAGACAGGATCAAACAGCCTTTTTACCCAATGCAGAGGATTAACCCCTTAGGTTCCACAGTGAGTATACCAAGCATGCTTTACTGCATATACAGACTGATTTTACTGTTGTGGGTTTAAGTATAGTAGTTTGTTGCTATTCCGTGAGCATGCGCAATTTTAGAGCATTACAGCTTGAGTATTATTATAGTACAGGATTTATATAGCACCAACAGTTTGCTCAGCGCTTTACAATATAACGGGAGACAATACAGCAACAATACAGTTCAATACAAGAGGGATAGGAGGGCCCTGATCCTTGGAGCTTACAATCTAAGAGGGAGGGGTCTATTTACTCGGCGTAACATCTTTTATATTTTACCAAACAATTGGGTATTAGATTATGTTTTTGTGCAATACATTTCATTAATGTGTATTAAAAAAAAAAAAAAAAAAAAACACCACTGTATTCTCTAGGACCTCTGCTTAAAAATATATAATGTTTGCGGTTCTAAGTAATTTTCTAGCAAAAAAAAAAAAAAAGATTTTTACATGTAAGAGAAAAGTGTCAGAATTGGCTCAGTAGGCAAGTGGTTAACAGACAGTAAGAAGGGGACATACCATCTCCCATCATCTGTCAACCTCACTCTGAAAAGCGATCCACAAGTAGCAGGGGTTGCTGCACATCCCCACTCTCCTGGTGGTGGGCTGTCCCATAGCTACCTCACATCCAATGCAGGGCTATGGGCTCTGCATTTGGTCTTGATGACGACAGAGGACAAGTGACCTCCAGAGCAAGGAGGGGGAGAAGAGCCTACAGGGACCAGCCTAGCAGCACGGTAGTGGAGGATCAGGTAAGGAAACCTGCTTTCCCTTGATGTAAACAAACATTTATCCCTTGCAGTGTGGGCGGGGCATTTCTCTTCTCCCTGGAGTCCAGTTGTAAAGTAGGAAAGGGTTAGAACTTAAGTGTTACTAAACCAGGGACCCCGCATTCGCTAGATCCGGTCTCCCCGGACCCCGCATTCGCTAGATCCGGTCTCCCCGACCGGTCTCCCCGGACCCCGCATCGCTAGATCCGGTCTCCCCGGACCCCGCATTCGCTAGATCCGGTCTCCCCGGACCCCGCATTCGCTAGATCCGGTCTCCCCGGACCCCGCATTCGCTAGATCCGGTCTCCCCGGACCCCGCATTCGCTAGATCCGGTCTCCCCGGACCCCGCATTCGCTAGATCCGGTCTCCCCGGACCCTGAATTCACTATATCACTTGTCCTCTGTCATCATCAAGACCACTGCCCTGAATTCACTAGGTCTCCCCGGACCCTGAATTCACTATATCTGGTCTCCCCGGACCCTGCATTCACTATATCTGGTCTCCCCTCATTCGCTATATCTGCTCTCCCCGGACCCTGCATTCACTATATCTGCTCTCGGACCCTGCATTCGCTATATACTGCTCTCCCCCGGACCCTGCATTCGCTATATCTGCTCTCCCCGGACCCTGCATTCGCTATATCTGCTCTCCCCGGACCCTGCATTCGCTATATCTGCTCTCCCCGGACCCTGCATTCGCTATATCTGCTCTCCCCGGACCCTGCATTCGCTATATCTGGTCTCCCCGGACCCTGCATTCACTATATCTGGTCTCCCCGGACCCTGCATTCACTATATCTGGTCTCCCCGGACCCTGCATTCACTATATCTGCTCTCCCCGGACCCCGCATTCACTATCTGCTCTCTGCTCACTATATCTGCTCTCCCCGGACCCCGCATTCACTATATCTGCTCTCCCCCCCGGACCCCGCATTCACTATATCTGCTCTCCCCGGACCCCGCATTCACTGGTCTCCCACAGTACACACAACATGGAAGTGCAATTATTTCAGTAAATATAAACTGCTAAATACTTTTCTCATCAGTATTTAGCAGTCTTGTAACTTCTATCAGTGTCCAGCCCAGCAGTGGTTAATCTTGTAGGAGTTTTCATTCTCCTCTGACTGTCCTATGAGGCTGGACAGCGCTGATTGGCCCTGTGCTGATCACATGCACCCTCCAATAAAAAAAAAAACAAACAACACTCTAGCAATACACACCAAACTGAGCATGTGCAGAGTGACTCCTGGAGCTCTGTACTATCAGCAGATGCATTGGAGACAGTAGAAGGGGAGGATCAGAGAAGAGAGGATCAAACATCCTTTTTACACAATGCAGAGGATTAACCCCTTAGGTTAATACAGGGGTGCATATACAGGGGTGTCAAGCTTGTAACTGTCAGTCTTGCACTGCCTCATGGGACTTGTAGTTTGGCATCATCTGGAGGGCCGCCAGTTTAACACCCGTGGCAGATACAGACTGGATTTACTGCTGGGGGATTAGTAACACTTTCAGGAAATGTTTTATTGTCTGTCCTTCCTGTCCAGGTGACACCTGCATCTCCTAAGTCTCACTTTGGGGGGGGGGGGGGGGTGGTCACAGGAAGTGAGAGAAAATGCCCCCCAGGGGTCACAAACACCTGACAGAAATCTGAACTTTCTATCACCTTCTCCCAAAATACAACTACAGGTCTGGAGATGGAGGTTGCTATAAATGCGCAGTGTCCAGCCTTTGTATGTGGAGCAGACATGGCATTACACAGGAGTGGATTGCACCCCCTGAACGACCCCCTCAGCTGGCTCTTCTCTCCCTCTAGGCATGCTCACCTCAGCTGCAATGTCCTGCAAGGTCTGGACAGCCAGGAACTCAGCCTGGACTACAATTCCCAGCGTGCTC